GATGACGTTACTTGAAGAAACGAAAGAGCGTTCCATCAGGCCTAGGCCTTGACCGCGCGCTTTACTCATACCAGACGATTGGGGCGATTATATGAAAATCCCTTTATCGCTCCCAATCGCTTGGATCGCCTCTGATTAACTCGGCGGTTGCAAACGATCGCGACGATCGAAACGATCTGGGCGATTATATGAGAACCATACATACATAACTCGTAATAAAGGCATGCACTGAATTGCATTCGGGGAACGAAGTAAGGAGATGACTTCCTGACTATAGAAAATTCACTAATATGAAATTAAACAAGAAAATTTAAACTGAATGAGACCATGTGCCATTTGGCATGAGGTAGATTGGTGAGGAATCAATCAATCAATCGATGAATTTTTTTAGAAAAGTTAAAATGAAGTTGATGTACTTTCTGAAATTATAGGACCAGAGGGCGTGCTTGTGTCATTTTGATTATGCTCTTACAAGTAGTACTCAAGCCTCTATACTGTTAGCTGTGGGATGAAGCTTTAAGCGATCAATTTGCCAAGATGGCTATTAAATTGTTTTGCTAACTGGTCGTCTTTGTAATAGTCTACCTAACGGAGAAATTGGTGGTGCATCACAATGTAAGAACCGTGGACAGAGAAATCGTGGACAGTCAGCAAGCATTTTAAATAACTCTTAAATGTTATAAAGAAACTCAATCCAGGAAGTCTAGAATTTCAGTTTGTGCGTTGATTGGCAAGCGCATTGGTCAGACTTCAGCAAGACTGAAAAGTATTTCAGATAAATCTTTAGGCATGGAGAATATCTTTTGAAATATCACGATATCTACAACATTTTTGTGGTTGTTTCTATATGCCAAGAATAACGTATTTGAACTGAAATGATTAAGGCAACGTTTCGTTATAATTGAATGAGATAATATTCAAGGGATGAAGTCGGCATTTCACTGGAATTAAAACAACGTCTACTGCATGTCGAGAACAAAACCGATGAAGACCTATATAAAGTAAAATCTTTAAATCCTTGTAAGCAAGCCGATTACAAACTGACAGGCCCTAATGAGTTAGAACTTACAGCTACAGTACATCATAAATACTCACCAAGGTTAGCTATTAGCACAGTACAGCCATTTGTTGAGTCTTTAGTGTAGTACATAAATATATTCATTATCTACGAAAAAGAAGTTCAGATTCGAAGAATTGTTTATTTTAAATTGACTTTTAGAAACCTGCAATTCCACAAGTTTATTTTTAGTTTAGGTTGTATCAAAAACCTGAACAATCAGATAATTAGAGGTGTGCCCATAATTTGTCCTTTCCCCATCTAGTAAAATTTAAGCTCTTTTGAAACAAAAAAAGTCATTGAACGTTATGCTTTTGACGGCAAACCGGCTTTGTCTACTGGACGAACTGTTTTGAATTTTATTTTGACCTTAAGCAAGCCAGGGGTTCTACAAAATACTCTCGTGGTTCATGGGGATTTGTTAAACAACGCTTATGGTACCCTGCCCATGCAAGTTCTAAAGACCGGCTATGTTTGTTTTCCCCTTTGTCTCAGGTTAACCTAGTTTTGGGTTGCTCATCTCGTTTTTCGGTGTTATGAGCTGCCTATGCTATGTTTGTATTGTTCTTACTCGTATACCCGTGACTGAATCTCTTCAACCATGTAGTGTGAGTCCTGACCAAATAGTTCTTTTTCCTTTTTCAGTCACTACACTGGAAATATAGGTTAAGTCTGCAAATTAAACGAGCCGAGTGGCCCATCAGGCCAGAGCTTATCCCTGTTTTCGTAGCATGAAACGACTAGGAGTTTTTCTACTCCCCCCTGGATGAGATGCCAGTCCATTGCAGGGTTACCCCCAGCATTAAATTCGCCGGTACCCATTTGTACACCTGGATGGAGAGAAGCACTGCTAGAGTAAATTATCTTGCCCAAGAACACAATGTCCCTGGCTTGGGCTCAAACCCGGACCGCTCCATCCCGAGACGAGCGCACTAACCATGAGGCCACCATGCCTCCACCAGACTGAAAATATAGGACATTGAAAATAAAAAAAATAACACACTATAGTTTTAGGGCTCTTGAATTAATAATCAAGAGAGCTTTTACATGATGATCCAGACACAGAAGTCGACACTTTCTTCAAGAAAAAAAACGGATTTAATACTGCTAAACATAGAAGGCAATAACTATCAGCACAAGCTGTAAAATATTGTAATGTTCTTGAGATCCTAAAATTAGTGAAGGAAACTAAATGCTGTAAATAGAATACAGATACACAAAATGCACAATTCTTCGATCGTTGGGTTTTTATAACAGCTCGTTAAACGGCGGACTAACTTTTAACCCATGAACTGCATTTTACATGTCTTTTCTGCAAACATAATGAATAGAAATAGTTTTAGTTCTCTTGACATTCCAATAGGCCATTTCTGAGGCAGGTTCATTTTCATGCAAATCAAAGTCATTTTCATATGAAAGGTTTTGCACGAGGACTCGTTTTGAAACAGAGGCACATGGTAACTCGGAAATGGCCTATGGAATGTTTTGTCTTTTATAATGATATAAAGGAGCCACGTCATGGTGGTTGCATCTGCGGAGGTGGCAGATGAATTATATGCTGTGGAGGATCTGTTACTTTCGTTGCCTTTACAGGGGGATTCATCTGAGGCGGACAAATGTTGTCAGCACTAGGGATACACGGTAGCTGTACAGGTCTTGGTGGTTGTATAGCCATCTGATTCAAATACTTTTTTTTAGAGTTACAACAGAATGGGTTGCAAGACACGACGCAGGTTGTGAGGCAGCTTGAGGTGCAAGTTCCCAATACCGCTGGTGGAACGCCTGCAACGAGCAACACTTGCCTTAGACTTAAAGTAAGAAAGACATTTTCTTATCTGCAAAATACACCTGCTTCTGCAAAATTATTTTGATAGCGTCGTCAAAAATCCCGGTCCCCTTTCTCAAAATAGAAAGCCTTCACTGAACTCTTCCCTTGCCGCCCACTTCTGGTAGATCAAGAGTTAAATCGCTATTACAGACAGTCATGATCTGAAAGGCATTGTGTTAACGTGTTTACATAAACATCTTAGGAAATAATGAGAACCACGTCAACGATCGCGAATGCAAAACCTATCATTTTGCAGTAACAATATCTATGTAGAAAATGTAAAGTAAAATCCATACCTGGATGCACTATCCTAACAGACTGAATAAGGGATTTCTGATTTAAAGGAGCTGAAAGTCGCCCAAGGTTCTTCCTCAAATGGTCTTGAAGTGGCTTAGTTGGGTCAGGAGCTACACCAGGACCAAACTTCAGAATGGTTGACACTGTTACTGTGGGCTTCACACTGGCGAATTCGAGCAAAAAAGATACTTAACCAGTAGCGGGCTTTAAAAAAACAATGACTTCCACTGAGACAATTTGTAGTGAAGTAGGGAGAGAATATGGATTGTAAACGTCTGCAATTTATGCTAGTTTTGCATCTCACATTTTGATGACAAATTGAGTCGTATCACTGATCATTATATGATCCTGCTCATTCACTTGCCGAAATGTCATTTGGCTCGACGACCACGCTGAGAGTGTCATAAGGCAAGTTATAAGGCAAGTTATAAGGCACCATTATTTCACCATGACAAATACAAATTACCGAGAGATAAAGCAGTTGATGAAGAAGGCTGTCTATGTCATCTGTTTGTCGTTCAGCCTGCGCGTCTGTCTATTCGTTGGTCAGTCGGTTTGTCGTTCTGTTGTTTGCACACCTAATGACAATACAAAATCGTACATGCTTGAGCAGCCTTCAATTTGTAGCATGATAATCGTTTAATTGGCTGACAAAAACTAAATAGCAACCTACTTGGAGGTCCCACTCGAAGTTGGCTTTGAAGCCGGAGTTGTGGCCTGCGTGGTTCCTGGTGAAAACAGTGTTGGTCTGGTCGTTGGTCTGCCAGTTGCAACGGAGACAGACGATGTGGTGGTCTGGGAACCAGGTGTCGTTATTCCGGGCTTTGTTGGTTTGGTTGATGTTTGAGGGGATGGCTTCGTACTTTTACTATTTTTTAAATTTCAAATAAGAAATAATATATTATTTGTAAACATCACCATTATTGAACAGATTCGCTTTGAAAATTATTCAATTCAGTAATATTGCGGCTTGAACTGTTACTTACGTGAACTCTTCGACGTATCCCGATACAAAAGTAGTGTCGATTTTAAAAATTTCCAACAGCTGAAAAGAAGATTGTAAAAAAGATAAATAATAACCATACAAATAGGAAATATTTGCTATATCGACATTGTCCATCTAGAAAGTTTGAACGTTCTTTGCAGCCCTTCATGTTGTATGATGCATGATGATCATGATAAAGCCGATGGGTCAAGCAATCAAGCTCTGGCTATTGTTCTTGTATTGTTTTTTTTTTTTCTTGGAAGATACAATTGCAACGAAAGAAATGCAACAAAGTTATGGTTACGTGTAACGAAAACCAGAGCTAGATAATGATTGCGTCAGCCTAGCTGGTAAGGTACTCAGGCTTAGGGATAAATTTTATTAACTGCACCAGGAGGAGGAGCCGGAGTGACCAGGTGGTCAAGGGGAGGGGGGTCCCGGGTCTCAAGAATGCCACTTCTGAAGTTGGCTGGTCTTTTGTTTACATTATCCCTAAAAGGTCCACAATGTCTTGGGGTGCGCAATACACTATGTTGAGGTAATTTGTAACGCTAGCTAGCTGCGGTGATGTAAAGGGAATCAATTATTCATTTACGGCCCTATATGCCTACCAGTGTTTCTATCTTTTGTTTCAGCTCCATATACGATAGTGTGGTCGTTTGGCTATAGTCATCTGTCCACAGTAAGGAAACTAGCTGAAGTTTCACTCGGTATGTTATGAGACCTGAAATGTTTTTTCAAACGAAGACAACGACTTCGTGAATGAAAATTATTGCTTTAGTTCATACTTGTCTTTTTGTCTTGTCTTTGTTATTAGCTGTAAATCTGTCTTGGTATCTTTCGTGTTTATTTGCAAGTATTAATTTTAGGAAGGGCGAGGATGGATCATCAGGTTGTGGCAAACATATATCATTCATTCATTGAGATCTTTTTCTTTTGTGTATGCAGTTTAAAAAAAAGGGAAAGAAAGGAAACGATTACGTTTCCCAGTCCGATCAAATAGCATTCCACTTCGTACGAACGGTGGTCACTACAAGAAAATATGTTTGTTCCTATTATAAAAAATCTATCTCAAAAATTATCAATAATCTTGAAGTGAAGCCCTCACCTTCAAGTGGTTGCCTTGAAATGTAAGTATGAGGCTCAGTACATGGAGCATCGGACATGGTGCCGTAACTGGACATTTCAATGCAAACACAATCCTCTTTTGATCCAGTTGGTTCGTTTACTTTCCAGCTGGTGTATTCGACGCTGGTGCCGTCAGACCAAGTATAAGTTCCCTCAGTAATCAGATCGTTCAGGCCTGTCCAAATTAAACCTGTTTTTCCTGTAGGGACCAGTTTCTGTACGAAAGTTTCCTCTGATGTCTTGTGAAACGATATCAAGGTAGCGTTTTCCTTTGCGCTCTGGAACAATGCTCCGTCCCAATTCTGCTTGTCTGAGTGATACTTGTAACAAGTGCCGTCTTCATTCGTATAGCCAGGGTTGCAAGACACTATGGCTGTTAAATAAACAGCACAGTGTTAAACAACGTGTCAGTCTTGTATGTATAGAGCGGTTTACAATTGAGTGTCGTAAAACCAAAACCAATTTCAAAGGACACAGACAAGAATACAGTTAACCAATCAAAACTCGAAGTAATTTCATATAGCTGACGCGAAACGCGGGAAAAAGAGTGCGAGCGAGTCACAATGGGTTTTGGTTTTACTTTTGATTGGATGACATAGTGGCGCGAGTTTTTTT